TCCAACTTCAGATATTTTCTAGAAAGTAATCTGTCCTGAATGGGAACGAACCCGCAAAATAAACGGTCCTGCTAAGTATTCTGGCTGATTTATATCTCAAGTAAAACAAATCGGGCCGCAACTTTGAGCAGATAGCTTTATAACGAGACGGAGACGGATTACCCTGACCGCAAAATGTATAAAATAATATACAGTTAGTTACCTACTTAAAGAAACACATACACATATAGCGACTGGTGTGATCCTTATCAAGTGGTATTTTGTTCTATTATTCTAATCTTAGAATAAATAAATAGTCTTCTTCTTCCCAGTCGGTACACTCTTGCCAGAGTGGTGAGGTGGTCATCATTGTGAATCAAGATGAGTGATGATCTTTGCAATACGGCGCCATTCCTCACGGAAGGCAGCTTTCCAGATCTTTAGTATTAGTCTAGTAGTTTTTAAAAACCAACTTCTCCATCGCTTCGGTTAGAAGAAATATTGGTGTATGATCATCTATCTATATATATAAAAGAAAGTCGTGTTAGTTAATCCACTTATAACTCAAGAACGACTGAACCGATTTAGCTGAAAATTGTCAGGGAGGTAGTTTAGAGCCAGGAGAAGGACATAGGATACTTTTTATCCCGTTCGAAATTAAAAAAAAAGTCTGCTTATTTATTGCCATTAAGGCGGAACAAAGTTCGCCGGGTCAGCTAGTTATAAATGTTTAGACAATGTCACATCCAGTTAAACAGTATGACATTAAGTATAATGTCAGTAGTTTTTTTTAGATAAAAAGAGTGATATGTATATTTAGATTTTACGTATTAAGCACATTGACAGATTATCGTATTGAGCATATTGACAGCTTAGGTTAACGTATTGAAGTTACTGTACTTTAGTCTTTGACCAGAGTTAAGTACACAAGCCACTGCAGATATTATGTCTCGACTCTATGCTTTAGTACCGAAACTCTAATAAAGTTTGTTTAGCAACAGACAACGAGCAACCGGACGGATGCCTGCAGTTTGCGATAAAAGTGTTAGAGTGAAAACAAAACTACTTTTGTCATGCATATAGGATCTGCTTTAGAAACAGTATTTGTGAGAGGTAAATAATAATATAACAATACACATTAGGTATATTTTAAAACAAAAAACTTCAGCGAAGAGATAGGCGAATGCTACCATGTATTTCCACATAGTCATACCGATTTGACTGACCATGGTTTTGTGTATGTACGTGATTCTTTTCGGCTTTTTTTAAAATTAAAACCAAGCAGTACAAAGATTAAAATACAAAAGAACGCCACTGTTATCGAATAAGGCCCGATTCAACCAAACTTTTATCCGAGAATAACTCCTGGTATAACTAGCACATTAACAGTTTCAGTATGGGAAATATGTCAAAATGTCGAATAACTGACGATTTATTTTGAGATTAATATTATTTACTCTTGTTTGGTCGAATCCACCCTAAGTCATTTAAGCCCTAGTTACGGTAAACTAATTTGAGGTCTTATAATTAGTTAATCATAGGATTAAGCCTCACGAGGCCTTTAAGTAATTAGTCGGGGTGTTTAATTAAGTAAATTGTTATCCTTTTTACTTCCGAGGCCCTCCAGTTAAGCGGTTTAGTACCCAAACCGTTTTGCGCCTTTGATCCTGAATCCTGATCTGTCAGGAATATACGAATTGGCCTACAGTCGGAGAATTTACTTCAAAAGTGGATCAATCCGAAGTAAATGATATTTATTTGCGTAGGCACGACACAAGTGGTAATATGTTTATTTTAACTCGAAATTCATAGAATTCGTGTGTGGAATTTAGAGAAATGGCTATGCTTGTATTTCGCGAATCCTATTTTCAGTCGGTTTGTATTGTTGACATAAACGTTAGTTATGCAACCAAACGTTGTTTAAAAATCACTTTAAGGTTGGGTTGCACCATCTTATTTTGACTTTAACAAACGTCAAAAATCTGTCAAACTCCATACAAAATACACCGGTTATCGTAATAGTAACAGTCAAATTTAGGTGGTGCAACTCAGCCTAAGTCATTACGAATAGGTAAAGAGGCACAATTGAATTAAATTAAGTAACCTACAAGACGAATGATTGAACCTTTTAATTTAATCACACTGTCCTAATAATATAATAAGATGTATTTATCATCCACTTTTATATCTAAAACCCAAATAACTCCCGGCAAAAACGCCGTAACAAAATGTAATTAATCATTAAACTTAGAAAGAATTGCTTCAAAACTTCTATAGAATTCAGGTGGACATTTATAACTTAGCACTTTAATTTTAAAGTTAGTATTTACCGTCCTTTAGTTAGAGCGAGAGACAGAACTAAGATAAATACAATAGCTTAAACTTAATTGGTAGCTCAAACTTAGCAGCACGTTTCAGTTAGAAATCCATCTGATCCTTTTATAATTGATTCGAAAGTCTTGTTCTAGACTAGGTCAGACTTTTTAATAACCAGAAGTATCTTGTCTTGATTATGATTATTCTCTTACTTACAAAATGTATACTCAAATTATTAAAAGTATATTTTATATCCTTGGTGTTAAAACCAATTACGAGTAATAGCTTAGGGTCTGCATTTTTTAACCAAAAATAGCAAAAAACCTGATTGCATGAAGCCATTATTAATACTATATTTTATCTGATTCTGATATAAAAATGCTGTGAACATAGGTTTTGTCTTGTTGTTTATGCTTTTTATTCTTTTAGGCCCGATTCGACCGAACTTTTATCCGAGAATAACTCATGGTATAACTGGCACATTGACAGTATCAGGATGGGAAATATGTCAAAACTGAAAATTTATTCTGAGATCAATATTTGCTCTTGTTTCTTTAAAAAAACTGTTCTTGTTATTCAGCCCAAAATGTCTGAAGAACCACTAAAGAATTGGACTATTTCAAAACGAAATGACGTATACCATTTAGGTTTCTTTATCAGTAAATGCCCGTCGTTACATTTCTTTGTCTAAAAAATTGTCAGCCTTCCACAAATCCGGCTAAGGTACGTTTTAGATAAGAGAGCACCTCCACTTTTAGGAAAGGTGACTCTTTCATCGCCAAATTGCAGAAAATTGACTTCCAGTGTAGGGGATAACAAGTTGCCCGCAAAACGGTGTACGTTATACAGGGTAACGGTGAAAAGATAAATCTTAAAGTGGCCTGTTCTCTCCCAACTCTAATTACCACTGACATGTGCTTTTCTTTCTTATAAACATGTTATAACTTGCGTGAAAATTCTGTTAACACCTCTTTTATTTTCGTTGTTTAACATATTTCTTGTACGTAGATGAAATGTAAAAGTAAAGTAACTTTTTATAGCTAATAATATGACAACCTCTGAGCCTCTGTTACTTTACCTATATATTACATTTACCACATTTTTTAAAAATATTGTGTCTTATTCTTTTAACGTACGTGGCTGCTTATTAATTTTGAAAGGACAACTTTAGCGACACAAAGAAGCTACAAGCCGTTTCAAGGTTAACCTTTCTTTTCAGGACAGCCTGTATATCGTTGTATTCTATAACTGAAATATTGGCTGGCCTTTGAGATAAAGGGCGGCTTGTTTTTAGGATTAAACGGGTTACACAAGGGTCGCGGTTGGGGCCGACTATTCATTACTATCGGCGTCTGTTTTTATTAGATTACGAGAGGAACGGTGAGAGCCACTTGACTGGATCCAATAAACCGGTTAGTCAAAGCAAACGTCCATAGAAAACCTTCTTGTCATTCAATTACAGTATGGGGCCAATATTATTTAACCATAAAGACAAGAGGCGGGACCAATCAATGTAGTCTTTTGTTTCGAAACGATGTCCCATTTATTTTATTCGTACATTAGGCAGGTAAAGGCTGATTTACACGTAAGTTGTTGTGATTAAATTACATGTAAACACAACTAAATTTTAACTTGCAGCTTGTTACTGAATTCTGTGTTTACATGTAATTAATCACTTATAAAATTAAGTTAAATTTTAATTACCTATCAGATATAAGTGACGAGATAAAAATTCAAATTGCGTGCCTCCAATGACGTACCATAGACACGTTATTCACGTTACTCTACTTTATGGACTATCAAGTAACAGCTAAAGCCTGTAGGTGTTACCGACGACGTATGAAGAAACGTTTTCTGCAAACCATTTTTCAAGTCGATTACTCAGAAACAAAGCGCGCTTTTTCTCTGGAACAGCTTTAAAAAGTCTTACTGCTAAGCGTCTCTCTTTCATTTGTTATATGAAACAGACTGGAGTAACATAAAAATAGATCTTCGCGCTATAAAGGGCTCTCTTAGTATGCTATTTAATTAAAATTGTTGAATGAAAGTAACTCAGATGCATGTCTAAACGATCTTTGTCCACCATTTAACTGTTTTTGAAGGCTACTCTGAACACACAAACTCGTTATACAATTCATTTAAATTTTAATTAATCGCAAAATTGAACTTCATTTCATTTCATGGAAAATGATTGGCCTTTGTTCCGACCAAAATAGTTAAGCTCTATATTTTATGCTAAATTACGTTAGTTTATGCTAACAATTGTTTTGACACGCATAGTATATTTTTATTTTGTTTAAAGTTAAGTTTGCCTTAGTTTAAAAAAAATCTGTTTATTGTAAATAAAGTTTCCAGCTCTAAATGAAACTGTTATTTTGATCGTGTGGAAAATAATTGGAACTGAATTGCTGTAAATAAACTTTCCATATTCATTTGAAGTTAATTTGAAAGAGTTCTAAACATTATACACAATATTAATATCGTAATTTATCGAAAAACGAAATCCATAACGCAAATACTTAGAGCTTAGAGCAAATAACTTTCCCACACTAAATACTTAATAACAAACTACATCATAGCCAATAATTGTTTACACAACACTTAACAAGTGTCTACGACGCGACCCAAACAAGCTACGGACTACGAGACTCGTAGCTACGCGCTACAAAAAATCGCGTAGCGTAAAAAAATATTAAAAATCCCACCTGTGAGGTCGCCGCTCCTCCTCGTGTTCTTCTTTCATGAAAGACGGCTGGAGGCTGAACCGGCGTCGGAATTGGTGTCGGCCCTTCATGGTTGTTCACTGATCGTTCAACACTCACACATGACACTCCGCGGTCGCAGCGAGAGGCGTGCGCGTCGCGGCCCGCCCGGCTAACGAGTGAAGGCGGTGCGAACCGAGCCATAGCGGGTTGAGGCTCATCTCTCGGTTATGGTAAACTTTTGGGACTTGTTGGACGGTTATGGTGTTGATAGTATTTGTTGGTGCATTTTGCTTATACAGAAAAATTAGGAGACTACCTGGTAAAAGTTACAAATACTTTACCTACCCTTTTTTCGTCTGTATAGAGAAAAGATTGAATTTGAAATATAGTATGTACTCGTGTTCTACGATTTTCATTGTGTAAAGATGTTAAAATGATTTGGAATGCTGTTATAGCGATTCTTCATCATGAATTTTTGACGGTTGCATAAAGTTTAAAACTACCTACTTTACGAGAATGTGTAATGGTTATGACAAATGAGAACTTTTTATTTTACGTCCTTAAGTAATTCTTCTTGAATAATTCCTTTCAGTAGTTTTACTAGTTACTAGTTATGAGGTGAATTGAGCACACACAACCTTATTTCGCTTTTTTTGTTTTAAGATCTTTATAGGAAATATTTTTATTGGTTAATCCATTGCATTAGGTATAATAAGGTAATCTATTCAATTTATTTTATTTAAGGAAAGCTAGGCTTTCTTTTACCCTAAAAATGAATACCTAAAAGACTGTCTTGTTAACTTTTACATTAATTTGAAATTCTAGCATCTTTTTAAATATTTAACAATACAAAATGGCCACACAACTTATTAATAGCTAGCCCGTGTCAAAAAATATAGTAATTATAATAATTAAACTATCGGATCACGCATGATCTATGCGTAGAAGTGTACTGCAGCATGTGAATGACCCCAATTGCTGTAATTAATACCGTACTTTATGTGTACCCTAACATTAGTGTCATGTTAGCATGCGTTTCATTAATTAACGCAAGTCGGTTCTATGGCCTAAGTTAGAACCTATCTTGAGCTGAGTAATGATAAAAATTAATGGCGTTGTATAATACACCAGGGTTGTAACAATACACAGCAAATAACTAACGAGTTGTTTATTAACTACGGGAGGAGATATCTCATTAGCAGGAGACCTACAGGTTAATTTGAGGCTATGTAAAAAATAGATTACGCTTATCTTTCCAAAACCAATTCGAAGGAGTCAAAGATCGTTTAATAACTTTTTGATGAAACCATAACTACGGATATCAAAGTTCATCTTCCAAACACGTTTTACAATGTCCGTGACATTTCGGTCGTTATAGAGTAACATTGTCGTGTGCGATAAAAGCGTCTATAACTCAAGGATTGGCCCCCAGAACATATTTTACGTCATTTAGCTATTAGATGGGCTATGAAGTCATAATTACGGCGCTCCCATAAAAGGAGGTACGCCCGACTGATCTAAGCCCGTATTCTCAGCGAAATTGAAACAGAATTCAATGTTGTAGAGATTAAAATTGAATTGAACTTTTTAAATTAAAGTTAATGATACTAGTTAACGCTTGTGATTTTTATTGGTTGCTTGATTTCCAGTGGCCAATCATGTCACTTTTGTTTCCAACAAGGACTTTTTTAAAAGAGACAACATTTTTTTTTCACAATATAATGTTGGTATTATACATATTATCTAGTGTAAAAATTAAAATACAACACTGCAGGATGCTGAGTAAGTATTGAGTAAATAGTAACAAAACAATATCTGGATAAATATGCATTTCGACATTGAATTCTTACATGAGGCGCGTATTATTTCTTGTTCACATTACCAAAAGTGAAAAATTTAAAATTAGCTATTAATCAATTTAGTAATTCACTTTTGGATAGTCTATCAATTTCCATTTAGACCAGCTGAATAAATCCCTCTTAAAGATCCTTCTTTATAAACTCCTGTTTTTCCGTGGCAATTTAATTTCCCTTTTCAGTTTTGGTTCAAAAGGATGCTTTTACGGAGATATTGGCTGTTTTTAATTTCAAATAGAAATAGATATTGCAAGTTTTACAAAGATAAAAATATCATCAAAGAGCTTTTTTAAGGTAAAGCACAAAATTGGTCATATTTTATCTGAAAATCGTGTTTACGACGTTTTTAACGCTGACCTTGCTTTTTTCCTTTTTTAAATTTATTAGAACGGCATACAAAACTTTTTCGTGCCACAAAAAATCTAGAGTTACGAGTATGTAATACTTTCAGGAGAGAAATTCAGAAAATTCCAGGATCGATCCTCTCCATAACCGAGTTTATCAGAATTAGTTTAACGTACGCCGCCGAACAAAATTGCCAATGTGAAATATTAGGCAAAGATTTGTAATATAATAAATCACGCTATCGAGAATATTCTTTGATCTCTGAGAAAAAAATAGTAATCTAGTAATACCTAGACAGTGATTACGTAACATAAAACTTCAGCTTTTTTATGTGCTTATGGTGGATTCGACATTTTGACATATTTCCCATACTATTTGACATATTTTACATACAATGTGCCAGTTACACCACAGAATAATATTAAGTTATACCACGAGTTAATCTCGGTTAAAAGTTTGGTCGAATCGGGCCTTAGTTTACAAGGGTTTAGGTGGCCAGGAAAGGCATAATTATAATATTTTTTATTTAAGTTACATTATTATAATAATTTGAGCGTTACAGATTGAGCATATAAACAATTTAATAGATATAATGGAAATATTTGGGATATACTTACTCGTACATATCAATTTTGTCACGTGGCGTGCTATAGTGGCGCTGCGGGCGGGTTTAATTATCGTAATTAATAACCAGCCATGTGCCGATGACTTCGGCCCACCGCACCCACTAAATGGGAAATTGATTCCGCAATGTTGTCACAGAACTTATTAGGTACAATCGCCAGCACAAAGGGTTAAATTTTTAACGCAAAATAACTTGTATAATAGCCACATACCTAATGTTTAAGATGACACAGTTTTTGGATTGTTGTACCGTCGTCCAAGCATTAAACAGCGTGGGTTGGACATAAGCTATTGTCTGTTTAGGGTTCTATACCCACAGGATGCCAACGTAGTAGCTCTATTACGAGAAGGTACTTATTTCTCCGTTGTTTGTCTATCTATGTCATTGTAGAAGTTGAAATATTCACACCAAAATAATACTAAAAACTAAACACAATCTTTTACAAGTATTTTAAACAAAACTGACGATTTCATGTAGTGCAACATGTAAAAAATATTTATCACATGACCTCCACCTCAGCTAGTCGCACTATGCATTCCATTATCGTTTTTATCGTTCCATAAACCTAATCATCGTCACAACTCACGATATTATCTTCTTCATCAGTAGGTATTTATTAAGAACGAAAGAACATGTTCTATCTTTTTCGCTAATTAACGACAGCTAATTAGGCTTATTTACAAGTGTTCATTTTGACAAGAATAATCATTCAGGGTGTTTTTGTTAATAACATAAATCTTTCAGCTCCCAGGCATGATTACGACTGCGCAACACCCAAAATATTTATTCTAAGGTAAGAAAGATGTTATTTTCTATGAACATAAATATGTTTTCTTAATTATTTCTCATCGCGTAACTAAAGCAGACAAAAATTATTTTTATTAAAATAGACCAAATAAAAATACCTACATGTTCCCTTTGTTTATTTAGTGCCACTTTATGTTTCTACTCGTCCTTTAAACAAAACGCTTCGACCGGTTACAGGTAACAGTTTCGGCCGGTTACAGAAAGTCTGTCGCTGGAATATCAAATATTTTTGGGTCTTAAATTATTTATTATCTCTTTAAGTATGTACCTTTAATCAAAATCTATTCCTATTGATTTTTTCTTTTCCCCTTTGCATGAAAGAATGATAAACATTCAGCCATATTATTAATAGGACTAAAGAAACGTATATCCGCCACGTTTATAAACCATTTTATTATTACTAGGATTAAAGTGACATTCTGTGACATAGGTACTGAACTGACAGACAACCAAAATCTAGGTAAGTCGACAAACAAAACATAAATCATTCATTCAACACATACAATAAAAATCCTTTTAACATGTTGTTCAAAGTTTTTTTCGACGCGTGTATCCAAGGGGGAAGTTCCTTGTTTCAGCATACACAAGGGAGGTGTACCGACTACAGCCCATCAGGCTACACATTTTTTGTTACAAAATAACACTTATCACAACTAGATAAGAACCCGCAGTGTTTAGCTTCATGTGCTATTGTATCCACAACAGATTTTATACTACAAGCCCATTTGCGCTCACAAAGCTCTTGAAAATGTAGTTTGGCACGAATGGCTTTATTACATTGACTATTTATTAGGCTCGGAAAGGGTTTGGAGATGATAAATATTAATATCCATATAAATCGACACGGATAAAAAAAAGCATAAACATAGACAAGTACCTAGATACGTACTCGTACATGATGACTAAACGGTTAAGTCATTTGATAAGCGTCAATTGAGATCCATGGGCTGAAAATTAATTAAAACCCATCAATGCCTATAAAGCTGATGCTATCTTATAATTATTTTCTAACAAGTTTGGCTATGACTTTCCACCTGGCCATGAAGTAACCAATCACTGATTTCTTTCAACAAAATCTTTAATGCCTCACCATTAGCAAATCATATTAAATCAATGTAACACTTAGTAACACACTTTAAAGTAACTGATGCATATAGGTTTGCACGCGTGGTCTAATAAATTGTCCGTATGGGACGTGTTAGCTTTCTAGACTCAGTTATTCTTTCCTTGTATAAACCTGTGGTACTATCTGAAATCTTATACAGAATTACGACTAACTTTCCTAAAATAGACCTAATAACTGTCTGTGGCCAACCAAGTAAGAAAAACGAAGTGTTTACCTTTGTTCATCCTCCCTCTTTTGTTGTTTTATCAGGTTATTAACGTCCCACTACAGCCTCCATATCTTCCACAATATATATACTCGTACGTTAGACCTTTTTTCCTCTTTGCTATCCGTTAACTGATATAGCGGGAATGTAATATTATGAAACAACTATAAATAAAGTGGCAACAAAAATGTGCACACG